AAAAAAAAAAAAAAAAAACCTATACAAACTTTAAAGCAACAGATCGGCATTTGCTTCGATGCACTAATGGCAAGAGTGAGTAGATAGCAGAAGTTCTTTCATTCTTCATTCCTGGGATAATAGTTAAGCTTGCCCATTAGGGGTGTTCTCACCCGTGCTATCAATAAGAAGGAGTCATTTTTCTGGTGGGCTAAGCCAGAAAGAGAGGAAGAGAATCTTAAAAGGCTATGCACCTTGGTCCAGAGCGAGGAAGAAGAGAGAGATGGAGGAGAGGAGAGAGATCTAGTTGATCAGAAGTTACCATGTAAATAGGAATGTAAATAGGAAATAAGCCTTTTAGGCATATATGCAAATAAATATAGCAATTTTAGTTATTTTGTAAATAATTATATAGGGGATGTATATATGTAATATTTTCAGATTCTTTAAGTGGACATATAAATTTCTCATATTTTTATTTGCAATCATATAAAATATAATTTATATTTATAATATGATTTTAAATATTGTATTTTTCATTAAAAAAAAATAAAAACATAACATATATGTAAAAGGATATTTCGCTTTTGCCCTCATAACCCCTTTCATTTGTTTATGCCCAACTATTTAGCAAAATCTTAATTTATTGTTACACTAAAGTTTCCCTAGTCACGGTGGGCACATATTAATATATTCACCGCTTATGCACACATTGATGATATATTTTTTGAACATATTAACCACATAAGCGGTGGACATATCATATTAACATGTGTCCACCGTGGTAAGGGGAACATTATCTTTTATTGTTATGTCTAATCTTGTGAATCGCTATTTACCGCCCCCCTTTTACTAGTCACCGCCCCCTCCCAATTACGTTTTTGCCCTTCACACTCTCTCTCTACTCTCTCTCTCTCTCTACTTTTTTTCTTTCGATTTTCTACGACTCTTTTAACCGTCAAAAAATTTTCAAAAAAATACCAAAAAAATACCATGACATCGGCAAGACATTGATGATTGACCATGTATTTTTTTTTTATATTTTCATACTTTGTAAATAATTTTTAAATTTTATTTATTATTTTTTTCACGTCCAGTCGGCCGGGCCGGACGCGACCGGTCAAGTCCAACCGGACTTACCGTACGCAACCGTGCGCGTCCGAACCGGCCGGCCGGACGCGACCTTGTGCGTCCGGACCGACCGGCCGGACGCGACCGTGTGCGTCCGGCCCGGCCGACCGGACGCAGAAAAAAAATAGTAAAAAAAAATTAAAAATTATTTATAAAGTAAAAAAATATAAAAAAATACATTGTCAATCTTCATTGTCTTGCCGATATCATGGTATTTTTTGCTATTTTTTTGAAATTTTTTTGATGGTCAAAAGAGCCGTAGAAAATCGAAAGGAAAAAGATAGACAGAGAGAGTAGAGGGAGATAGTACTAAAGGGCAAAATCGTCCAAGGGGGGCGGTGACTAGTAATAAGTAGGGGTGAGCATGGGTCGGTACGGTTCGGAGATTGATAAATCTCCGGAACCGTACCAAAGTTCGGAGATCTCAAAATTCGATCTCCGGAACCATACCAAAAAGTCAGTTCGGTTCGGTTCGGAGATTTATATTTTTCGGTTCGGTTCGGTATTCGAGACGATTGGGATGGTACGGTTCGGTATGATTTGGTTCGGATCTTCGGGGATTTCTTATGTTTTTAGATTTTTTTTTGAATGACTACCTAGTTATATTTTTATTTTTATATGTTTTAAAAAACAACATTCATCAATAATTCATCATATTGAATATTTTATTTTAAAATCAATTTTTGAAGTAACTCTAAATTTTAGTTATTTAATTTTTATATGCTTTAATAAAACCAACATTTATCAATACTTCCTCATATTAAAAATTTTATTTTGAAATCAACTTTAGAAGTAACTCTAAATTTTAGTTAAGATTAAATATGTGCAACTGATATTGGAAATTTAAAATTTAAACAGAATATAATATTTTTTTCTAAAAAATATTCTTTAACCTTTCATATTATTTTAATAATTATTTTATAATAGAAAAGATTCAATTGTAGATCAAATATTACTAAGTATGAAAGTTAAGTGAAGGTTATTAGTTATTATTACTATATTATAAAGGATCAAATGTGACATAAAATATATTAATAACACATCTAATGTTATAATTCGGTTCTTAATTTTGGTTCGGTACGGTATGGGACTGTTCGGTTCGGTTCTCGGTACAGATATTTGTGAATCTCCAGAACCGTACCAATTATTTTTTCGGTTCGGTTCGGTACGGAGAAAGTCAAACTGTCAACGGTTATTTTTTGGTTCGGAGTGATTCCGGTTTAGTTTTCGGAACGATTTGAAATCCTCCGAGTCCCATGCTCAGTCCTAGTAATAATGGGGCGATAAATAGTAATGTACTAATTTTTTGAACTTTGCTCGAAGTCTCACTCTCACCTAACATAACAATAAATAAAATTATACATTAAATAACTTTTTTGTTAACATTCAATAATAAAGCATTAAATAAAAGTTGAATGAAATCAACTATTTTAGACGAAAATGACATTTCATATAAACAAGAGTACTACCATTATTTATTGCATTCAGTGCTTTTATTTATTAATCTCTAACTTTATTATTCTTTCACATCATATATGTCTCCGTGTTCCTTTGCCTGTGTCAAATTTCACTCAATTTTTTTTTTTTATATATCTACAGCCATTCATGCATAATTTTAGATTTCTTTTCTTTTCTTTTCTTTTTTCATTTGCAATCGAATTCTCGATTTTGTCTGAGAAAACGAGGAAAAAGTAAAATACATTGATTTTAATTCCGAAAAAATGGGTCTGCCGTTTTTGTTCTGTTCTGTTTTGTATTTTGATGGCGTCGTGGAAGGTGATGGCATCAAGTTCACCGCCCAATCCGGATCTTCCAAGTAAACGTACAACCTCCCCTTAAATCCTCACTCCGATTAGAGCCGGCGGTGTGCCCATGGATGACATACTCCGCAACATTTACTCCGATTCGGATGCATTCGCTCAGGATAACAACGCCGGTGACGGTGCCGGAGGAGGTGAAGGATCGGCAGCCGACGGTGGTGGCGAGGAGATGGGGATTGCGAACGGGAGCAAGACGGTGGACGAGATGTGGAGTGAAATTGTGAGCGGCAGCGCGGAGCCGAGGATGACTCTGGAGGATTTCCTCGCTAAGGCGGGTGCGGGGGACGAGGAGGATGCTAGGGTTCCGGAGGCGGCGGTGACGGTGGGGCCGGCGGTGCCGGGCGTCTTCGGGATGGACGCGATCGTGATGAATCCCGCGTCGGCGGCCGTTCAATTTGCGCCTCCGCCGGCGGTGTGCGTTCAGAACGGGTTCGGCGTGGAGTTTGGGAGCGGGAGGGGTAGGAGGAGGGTGGCGGTGGAGGAGGCGCCGCTCGACAAGGCCACGCAGCAAAAGCAGAGGCGAATGATTAAGAACAGGGAATCTGCCGCTAGATCCAGGGAGCGAAAGCAGGTATTCTGCTTTTTCCTTTATTTTATTTATTATGATTTTGTTCTGGGTATCTGGCAATTGAGCTTATTTATGTGATTACTGTTCAAAGGCCTACACCGTTGAGTTGGAGTCTTTGGTGACGCACCTCGAAGAAGAAAATGCTAGGCTTTTAAAAGAAGAGGTATGGCTCCATTTTATTAATATGATACTATGGGAAATGCTACGGTCCGGTTACGGAACCATTCCATCGGGGTTTGTAACCGTTAGATCAACTATCCCTGACGGTTACATGATGATCTAATGGTTACAAACCCCGACGGAATGGTCCGTAACGGGACCGTAGCATTTCCCTGAAATTATATCAAAACATTGGTTAAACTAAATGTACCACTCAGGCTAGTACTTGAAGTTTCCTGAATGAAGTAGTATTTTTGGACAATTGTTTTTTTTGCATAGATAATATGAAGGTGGAAAGAAAACATCTTCACTCTTATGAAAGAAAACTGTGGTTCATGCCATCAATTTAATTACAGATGGTGGACGGACACTTGATAAATGAGGATTGTATAGATCAACACTTAATAATTTTATACCAATCAGTAGCTTTGAGGTGAAAAGAGGATTGATGAATGCAAGCTACTTTATTGCGGTTTTTCTCTTATTGTATCATGTTGAAGAAGGTTCTGAATAAACTTATATTGCATTACAGGATGAATTGAAAAAGAAGAGATACAAACAGGTATACATCTGCTAATGTTTTCTTTTCCTTTGTCGGAATTTTCCTAATTATTCAGCCTTCAGCATGTATCTCAATTGTCTAGTGTTTATATCTCTATACTCTAGCTTGCAGTATTGACATGTATCTTTCAAATGCGAAGGCTGCTTATTTGGGCTCATGCTTGTTCCCCCTCAACTTCAGTATTTTTATAATTTCATTGCACGATTGTTTATTTGGCACAAAATATCAGCTGCAGTTTTGGATTCATGTTTGTGCCTTGAACATCCAATGACCAAGGTGTTATTTGTGCTGTAAGCTTGTATATACTTGCATTGTAAACTGGTTTGCAGTCAACTTATGTCTCTTTTGAATTAGTATCATCTGCAAACAAAATTAGCTTAAAACATGAATTTTAGTTTGTCCAAGTCACTCGCTAGTTAGTTTCGTCATGTCACTCCACAGAAACATTTAGTTTATAATTTTATTCGCATCGCATAGTTGCGCCTTTATGTTCTAAGAGTCAACTGTACTTACCTCCCATTTGAAATGATCAAGTCTCCGTCTATTTCCCTTACATTTCTCAGAGTTGCAGATAGCCCGTCTCCATGTTTATCATTTGCAATATCATACGAAACTACCCATGTAGCTAAAATATCATTGTAGCCAATGGTACTATGATTCATTATCGTTGTCAACGATGTAATATCTGATAAGCCTGTTTTTTTCCTTTTAACCCTTTATGACATTTCTAAGTTTCCCCTGAATATCTAATATTGTAATTCTGAATGTTTACTACAAGGCAGAAGTGTATTGCATGTAGTTTAGAGGCTATGTAAACATGGCTGGAGTTTATCTTCATTTTGTTCCTCTTTTCTGGTCTTCATTCCTTGTAGATGGCTTAACCTAGTATTGGTGTTTCTCTTAATCTATGCTTTTGGATAATAGTGACCCGTCTTGACAAGTGAATTGCTGGATTCATGTTTTACTTTTGTTGTATCCTCGACATATCGTGCATTTCAAATGTAAATTAAATTTTTGCTTGGACTAAAAAAAAAACTTGCAGCTGATGGAGAACCTAATTCCGCTCGTGGAAAAGAGAAGGCCTTCGAAGGTTTTGAGGAGAGTGCATTCCATGGAGTGGTAGGTGGTTTTCTAGTCAGTGGACTGATGATAAAGGTAGAAAGGCCTAATAATACAAGAACTAGTTATTTATTACAGCAAATGGGAGCCTTAGTAATGTCGCACGATGACATTCTGGCAACGGATGCTTCGTTGGGGGATATCATCTGACAGTCATATCAACATATCAACAGATGGTCTTTATTTTTTATTTTGATATTCATTTTGTTGGGGGATTGAAAGATGCAATTCGAGATCTCAAATTGAAGTGAATTGAACTCGTCTGTAGGCAGGTTGAGAAAACATATATATCTGTAGTTGTCTGTAGTTAATTCCAGTAGCAAGGTTTTTGTTGATGGGCATGTGTTCACCTTGTTTCATAAGTTCAATATTTTCTGAATTTTTATCAAGAGTAATTCATACTTCATCTTGTGAACGAAACTAATAAATATTAGGAGTCGCGCGAGTTGAGATGAATGTAGACATGGCCATTTTTCAATTCCGGTTCACGTTTTTGGTGAACCTAAAACGTGAACCTGAACCGGCCTGATAATATATATGGATTGATTCAGTGAATTGGAGGATCATAATTCGGAACTGGCCCATTGGTTCATGGTTGAACCAAAAAAACTAAATAATAATAAAAAAAAAAGTAAAATAAAAATTTAAAATAAAAACATAAATTTTACACAAAAAATTCGATGCCGAACTGTTGGTTTCGGTTTCTATTTGAAACCAAAACCGACAGTTCAATTTTAATCTAAACTAGAACTGACAATTCAATTTTTAAAAATGGTTGAACCTAAACCGAATCGGGTAAAACTACGTGTTGGTTCAAAATCTGTAGTCAACGTGCCAGGCCGGACTGATTCTGGGCTGGTTCGATCCGTGGCCACCTCTGAATAAATATTCTTTCTCTTTGTTCCTACTACTTTTTTCAAGGCACTGCTATAGGCGTACGGAAAAATAAATAAATAAAAGATTAGAAAGCTCTTATTCCAAATTTTGCCCCTTTTATTTTTGTGTAGATAATATAGATAATATTTAGTTATTTTTAATGTAGATAATATTTTACTGTTAGATAACACACATGGCATCTATATATAGTTGTATCGGTAGAACAAAAAAAGAAACATTCAATTATGTCTTAAAAAATGTGTTAAATAGGATAGAGAATTGGAAAAATAAATTCCTTAGTGAAGCTGGTAAATTTTTTTTGATAAAAACAGTTTTAGGAGCTTTACCAACTTTGTGATGTCATGTTTTAAGTTGCATGTCCAGATTTGTCAAGAAATATGCAGGGCAATTGCAGCCTTTTGGTGGGATGACACGGAGGCTGGGCACAGGAAGGTCCATTGGACCTCCTGGGACAAGTTAGCTAAGCCTAAAGAGCAAGGAGTATTGGGCTTCAAATGCATGATACATTCTATAAGGCACTCCTGACAAAGCAACTTTTGAGGATCAAGTCTCAACCAAAACTGTTGGTTTCCAAAGTGCTTAAAGGAAAATATGTTCCTACACGAGACCTTATGGATGCTGTCCATAAACCCTCCGACTCTTGGCTTTGGAGTTCATGGCTCAGAATCAGACCTATTTTGAAAAAAAGGGACCTTGGTTCAGACTGGCAATGGAAGAAGCACTTCTATCTGGCATGACCCCTGGGTTCCTACTTTAACACACCTCAGGCCCACATGTGTTTTTGACAAGGATAAGGAAAAACTAGTTAACGTGTGTGATCTTTTTCTATCTGATGGTTCTGGCTAGAATAAGGCTCTCATAGATCAGTTTTTCTCACATGAAGAGGCTGCAGCCATTCTCAAGATCCCCCTTAGCAGATTGCAGCAGAAAGACAGATTGTGTTGGACACTTCATCAAAGTGGTACATTCTCTGTGAAGTCAGCTTACAAGAATGTCATCACGGATAAAAACATACAAGCCCTTCCTCTGAATCAAGCTCTACTTCAAGTACATTGGCCAAGATATGGAGAAAGACTTGGAAGCTCGGAGTGAAGAATAAGATTAAAAACTTTATTTGGAGATGTTGTTTCAACTTCCTCAGCACCTCTGACCAGTTATTGAAAAAGTCTATGTCAGTTGATCCAATCTGTCACATGTGTGCAGAGTTAGAAGAAGACATGCAACACTTATTTTTCTCATGCACCAGAGCCTGTCTGGTTTGGAAGTTAGCAGGCATAGATTGGTTTGGGCATAAAGGTCCTCCCACTTCCTTTAAAGAATGGTGGCTCAGAGTGTGTCATCTCTCTTCTGATGAGGTTCATGCTGATAGAATCTACCTATCCACATACATCTTGTGGTGGTTGTGAAAAACACGCAATGTTTGGGTTCTGAATAAAGAGTGGAAATCTGAAATTGAAGTGGTTAGAGGAGCACGGCTAGAATGGTTAGAATTTTAAGTTGCAAATACAAAGCCTTTGTTTTCTCAAACCCCTGCATCTCTTGATTGACTATTCATGATGTCATGTTATATGACTATGTATTTTGCTTATTTCTCTTTTGTGTCTGGTCTGTCTAAAGTCAGTAGGCTTTGTAGCAGTGCTGTTTAGTAGACAACCTGTATATTTTGTTGTACTAGTAAGGTGAACGTGCGATGCACGTGGTGACAAATATTTTTGGCCGATTAAGTTTATTAAGATAAATTAATTAATTTATTAAACATATGATTGTAGGAACAAAATAAAATGATGAACAAATAAACTTCTAACGTATTTTTTTTTTCAAGAATAACATAATGATGTCGTATATAAAATGATTTAAATAACATATTACAATTCGAACAAAAATATATGAAAAATGAGTCCCTAATAAAAAAAGCCCTAAATAATTAAATAATGACATAATGTATGTTGTAGATGCATCGCATGGGTCGGTACGGTTCGGAGATAGATAAATTTCTGAAACCGTACTAAAATTTGGAGATCACTAAAATTCGATCACCAGAACCGTACTAAAAATTCGGTTCGGTTCGATTCAGTTTAGAAATTTTTATTTTTCGTTCGGTTCGGTTTGGTATTTGGGACGGTTCGGTTCGGTTCGGTTTAATTCGGTTTAGATATTCGGAGATTTCTAATTATTTTTTAAATATTTTTTGAATGACTACTTAGTTATATTTTATTTTTTATATATTTTTTTAATCCAACATTTATCAATACTTCATCAACTTTATTTTAGTTTAGACTAAATTTGTGAAGCTAACATTGAAAATTTAAAATTCAAACAAAATATAATATAATTTTTTTATTAAATTAATATTTCTTTAACCTTGCATACCATGTTAGTTTATAAGATAGAATGAGACTAAGTATTGAGAATTTTACGTAAAGTTAAAATATTTTCTATAAAAAATATTTCTTTAACCTTTCATTCAATTTTATATATTTTCTTTTTAAACATAAAAAATTTGATTATAAATCAAATATTACTAAGCATAAAATTTAAATGAAGTTTAATTGTTATTACTATAATTTATTTGCATTTTAAAAAATTTCATATTCCTGTTGGTTTTTAGGCGTGTTTTTAGTTTGGGTCGTTGGCCCCTGTCTCATTACCATGTTGGGGCCTTAGATTACCCTGTTGGGGCCTTGTAATTTGTTCCTTTTGCACTTT